TTCCTGACAGTACAAGAAATGTTTTCTGTTTACGTTTAGTTTTGTTTTGAGTGCCATGGCCAGGACTCAGATGTGTTCATGTCATTGTCAGTAATTTCAGGTATCTCAAGTTAACAATTTAATGAACACTTACGAGCTGGGCACTTTTCTGCAAGTACGTCATATGACTGTGTATTCGATACTTTTCTATTTTTCTGCTGTGATGAACACCTTGACCGAAAGCAGCGTGAGGAGGTTCATTTCAGCTGGCCACCCTCAGGTCACACTCTGTCCCTGGAGGACTTGAGCGGGAACTCAAACAGGGCGGAAACCTCAAAGCAGAAACTGACGCGGAGGCCATGGAGGGGTGCTGCTGACTGGCTTGATCCGCAAGGCTTGCTCAGCCTGCTGTCTTCTCCAAGTCAGGAGTGGCGCCCAGGAGTGGCACCACCCTCCATCAGATGGGCCCTCCCACATCAAGAAAATGCAGCACAGGCTTGTCCCTTGTCCAGTCTGCTGGAGCCATTTTTCAATGGAAGTCCCCACTTCCAAAATAACTCCAGCTCGCTCAAGTTGACAGAAAACCAGTCAACACAGGCTATAAAGCATTTTTATCCATATTTATGGACTTTAAATGTGTCCATAAAATACTAAGCAAAAATAGACAGTCAGTTACATAATACTCTCAAGCTATGCATGGAGCAAACATTTTTATTTAAAACGGGCCCAGAAATTGCTTAATTTCAAAAGCTGGTAAAGTAGGGGATTCATTTCTAAAATAATTTGAAAACCACCTACTTAGCACTGGAGACTCTACAGGATCCGCATAAATCATATTCATATTTCATCTTCTGTTCCACTTTTGGTTTTAGTTCCCTTAATGTGGAACAAAAATTTAAATATGTGAAGCAATATGAATGCTGAATCCCTCATGACTTTTAATATTTCTTCTCAAATCCTGCACAATTATTCCGCCCACTCCGACTTCGAGTGATTGCTTTAAAACGTCATCGTTATCACATTTTCCTGAAGCATCTGACTTTATTTTAGCGGAAGCAACGACTCCATCTTTATAGCTGTATTCCAAAGGTTTATGGACTATTTAATTAGACTTCATAATTATAATAGTAAGTTCAATTAGAATAAACAGGAGGAAAAACTAACGCCTAATAAGTGCACAACTTTGGCTACATTGAGAATCTGTTAACAGTTTATTAGCCTCTGGGTTCTTCTAATGGAAACACTTGATTCTTTGCATTACAACTATGGAAGGCGGCGTGAGGGTGGCAGGACAGTAAAATGGGAGGAGGCACTTACAGCAAGTCTGAAAACAAGTTCCACACTCAGAGCCTACGCGGTGGAAGGAGAGAATGCATTCCTGCAGGCTGTCCTCTGACCTCCACAAACATGCCATGCCACACATGCACAAGACACATAGAAACATGCCATGCCACACATGCACAAGACACATAGAAAAGCAAATGTGATAGTAACTTATCTAAAGGACAGACACAAATGTCAACAATTGTTTGTTCTGACTGAAACTGTTTCTGGTGATGTTAACTTTGATTTGCTTGGGTGTGTGTTTGCTCAGAGGACTTGTATTATATACAAATGGATCATTTCATGGGTGTGATTAATCCCAACACTCAGGAGGCAGAGACAGACAGATCTCTTAATTCGAAGCCAGCTAGGATTATGTAATAAAATCTTGTCTTAAAAAAAAA